TTATTGGCAGTTCCTAATTTATAGATAAGTAATAGCCCTTGCCTTAGTTTGTTTTCCTGGGTGTAGATGATCATATGATGCAAGAGAAAAGACACTTTCCTTTACATTTTCCAGCATAAGGACAAAGCCTAGGACATATATTAATTAGAACAAAAAAACTAAATTTTTACTTCCTCTTTTTTACCCCATTTCCTTAGTTTCTAAGGCTGATTTCATCCTGTTTCCAGTTCCCTAAACTACCCAAAAATCTTTCGGTGAGATTTCACTGGGATCTTGTATGCAATATGCCTGGCATGTAGAAGTCATTCAAGATAAATGCTCTAGGATAATGAAGATTTTATAATTTTTGCCCATCTCCTAGGTTCCCAAATTCTTTATAATGCAAAATAAACTTCTTCCTGCTCTTCTCTCCTCCCTCTAAACCCTAATAGGTTATTAATTTTACAACAATCAGGGTAAAATAATTTATACTAATTTATGATTGAATGGTAGTGCCATAATTATGAGAGTTATTTGCATTTTAAGAGGATAATCATTGCCAAAATTAATGCCAATTAGTAGAATGTAGGACAGTGTTACAAGGTATCAAGTCAATATAAGCTTTTTTAAAAGTTGAAGAGACGAGAAAAAAATAATTAGGCTTTTGATAGGTCCTTAGGGTCTGCTCCTCTAAACTGACCTGATTTTATTTCTAGAATCATTCCCTCCTAAAATCCTGCTATCATATCTTCTCTAAAAGATCCACATACTTTTTGTTTGGTTGTTTTTATCCAGAAAGATTCTTACAACAGAGTCCTTGGCAATAGAAACAAGTTGATGTGGAAGAAGCCACACTTTAGACTTATGGGTATGCATTAGCTAGGGCAGAGCATATTTTTCATCCAAATGTTGATTTTTTTTTTTAAACCTACATAGGAACTATTATAAACTTGAAATGGGAACATGCCACTTAATATTATGGCCACTTACAAAAACAAAACTAGATGTGGATACAGCTTGTAATACGTCAAGGTATGGGGGGAAAAATGATAATTTTCCAAACCATTATAAATATATGACTGAACTGTTAACCCCACAAGAAGCTTCCCATTCCCATGCAACTTGACAAGGTTCACAAAAGTCTGCACACTGCCATGTCTATGTAGACTACTGTCAAGAGCTGTCACTACAACCACTATACAGAGGAGGAAACTCTAGCTTTGGGAGATTAAATGTCATACCCATAGGGAAACAGTGCTGAGAAGAGAATCTAGCTGCTAATTCCCACAACATCTTTTACTGTAGCCTTTCCTGGACTATCTTCAACATCTCTCAGCTTTTGTCCACCCATTGCCGGTACCAGAAAGCACAGATGTGCACAGAAGCACATTTTAAATTGTGAGCATTTGGATTTGTTTTTGTTTGTTTGACTCTCCAACATGGGTTATTAAATTAGCAGTTATCATTTTGAATCAGGTAGTTTAAAAAAAAGATTTATCTTCTAAGTGTGAGCCACTTTTGAAATTTGATTGATTTTTACTACCACCCATGCAGTTGGGGTGAACTTGAAATTTTGAAGCTATAATGTCATTCACTATGTGATGATTTTGTCTAAATAACTCAGTTTTTCTCAAATAGCTTTTCTCATTCCTCATCTTAGAATGTAAATAATCACAGAAATGTAACAAAGTTGTTTTTATGATTTGACAGTAATACTACAGCCTCAAATCTCCTCTTCTGGTTTCCACTCTTATCCATCTTTCATCTATTATCAATAGAACAGCAATATTGGTCCTGTTGAAACATTAGCTCTTTACTCTTCTGCTTACTCCTCCTCCTGCCCTCATGCCTTCTCATACCCTTTAGAGTAGAAGCCAAAGTTCTTCATTGGCTTACATTATCTGCCACCACTTCACTGCCTCTCTGACCTGATCTGCTACCATTCACCCTGAATCATTTTGTCCCAACCACTCTGGATTCCTCACTCTCCCTCGAACATTCCAGAAACACACCTTCCTCGGGACCTTTGCATTTGTTATTTTCTCTGCTTGGAAAATTTCACCTCGAGTATTCACATGAATCACTCCCTCACCTTCCATTAAGAGAGGGTTTCCCTGGCTTTCTTACCTAAAAGTACAACCCACCTTCCTCATAACACTTCCTCTTCACTTCTTTATTTTTCTTCTTAGCACCAACTGGCATATCTTGCATTTACTTATTTGTATGTTTTGTTGTCTGTCTCTCCCACTAGAATATAAGCTCTGTGTTAGCATTTTGTCCATTTGTCACTATGTGACTTTGTAGAAAGGGGAATATTCAACTTCTCTAAACTAGAGATTATTTATCTATTTCCAGACTAGTTCTACAGCAATGCCTAACAAAAAGCAGGAACTTAATAATTAGTTGTTGAATTCATGAGTGAATCTAAAAGAGCTTTGAAAATTATGGCCCATGACACATGAAAAAGGAGGAAAAGGAGAAAGGGAAAATGCGGGGAAAGGAGAGAGAAGAAGCATGTCAGAGATGCTTAGACCACATTGATATGGGAAAAGAGAACCAAGCAGAAAAATTAAAAAAAAAAAAAAAAAAAAGGAAACTGGTGTATCATAATTGAAAAGCCCAGTAAGTAAGCAAAAGAAAGAAAGAAAGAAAGACTGTTCTTCATTGTCCACTCAGTAGTCACATGATTTAGTTTTATCATGACCTGGGACAGTATTATCCCTAGAAAGCTGGTGATAATCTCTTCTATGAATGACCAATTCATCCATTTCCTCAAGGTAGTCAAGAACTTGTGAGAGGCCTAAAGCATGTACAGTGATTCTAGGACACCATTAGTGATCAAATCAAAGTATTTTCCAACATCATGAATTTTCTTGGGAATATAATCTGAACAGATGTATAGTGCCAAGAACTAGGGTTATCCCTCTGATACATCGTCATAACCTGGAACATCACACTTTTCAACATACACAAAATCAAACACAGACAAATACACCTTCTTACTACACAACTAATAGATCCCCAATCTTCACGCCATGCGAGGACTATGAACTTCTTTTCTTATTCAGACTTCAATCAGTGGGATCCGCAACCAGTGGGAATTTCCAGCAGGCTAAAGGCAGTTTATCTCCATTCATGACATGCTCTCTAGGGCTACAAGGAGGATCCCTTTCCATCCTGCTTCAGCCTCTACTATGATTTTCACTTTCCCCTCATGGAGGCCTTTCTTCTCTAGCCACTCGATCTTGCAAAAACTATTTTAAATGTCTGGTAAATTTTGCCCCAAGATGCTTTTAAAGGTCTGTGCTGAGGAAAACAACATTCACTTTGCAACCTTCTTGGGATTTTTATTTAGCTAGAGCCTCTTCTTCATTCCAGGATTTAAAGCATGATGGAAACTTTAGCTCATGAATCAAAACAACTCTCTAGAGCTAAAAGCTACCTGTATTTGCATAACAATTTAAAAGATTCAAACATCAGGGCAAGGTCGGGTGAAATAAATTGCCAAGGTCATGGTTCTCTTGAAGTGGTATTAGATTCAGAAATGCTGATCCCCAATGTTTGCTCTGCCCCATGGATATCTCTCTTCCACCTCTATTCTAAATGATACTGTGGTATGGAGTAAAATTAATCCACTGTATGTGTGGAAACCACTAGACGGCCCTTAACTCTATCCTTTCCTTCTAGTTCCATATTATTCAGATGATGGAGGGAAAGATTTGATCATGACCCATTGACTTCAATGTATTACCATACAAATGAAATGACTTAGAAACAGTGACCTGGGGACTCTTGGTCTAAACCAGGAGCTGCTGTTGACTGTATCTGAAACTCTAAAAGTATTTTGAATCTCTTTAATTTCTTGAACAAAGAATGGCTTTGAATTATCTTTGCTTTAATTCTGAGAACCTAAAAATCTAGGGATCCTTAAAAAACGCAAAGGCCCATTTGCCGGAGAGGAAGAAACTGAGGAGGTTAAATGTGTAAATAATTCTTGCTTTAATACCCTTAGCTAGAAAAACCTTTAAAGCGACACATCGAGAAGCTAGTTAAGTCACAGCCTCTTTGAACCTACTTCAGTGAACCACTGAATGTCAGACACCTCAGGCACGACTCTGAATTCAGAATTCTCCTCTGCTCGTAGTGCCTTCCCTCTTAAGTATCAGGGAATTTTGCAAACTACGACTCCACTCCCAGCCTTTCAGGGGAGAGGGCTTTCCAGGGGCGCAGGACGTGCCACTCGAGAATCTCACCAACAGTGGGCATTTAGCGCAGCCAAGCGACAGGCAGGCGCCAGGGCTCGGCAAAAGGAGGCGTCGGCTGAGGCGGGGAGAACTTTGGCACTCAGAGCAGAACCACCCTTTGCTGGCCAGTCGCGTTGCTCCTCCGAGAAAGCAAGCGGAGGTGGCGACTGGGCGGAAAAATAAAGAAAGAGAAGAGAGGAAGTAGCTAGGGAAGAAGGAAAATGAAGTCCGCGCTGAGAGAGCCAGCAAGAGGGTGGCCGATAGTGGAGCAAGGCGGATTTGGCTGCCTCTTTTCTGCACTCCGGGAGTGAACGCCCTCTCCAACGCGACCCCAGGAAATAAGTGGGTCTTGCCTGGAAGGAAAAGAATCCAAGTGAGAGCGTTGCTCCTCTGTCACCGCTTCCCGTCGGAACTCCGGCTGCTTCTCAGACCAGCCGCCTCCCCCAGCCGGACGCAGTGCCCCAGGCGCCCTGCAGATGGGGCGGGCAAGGAACAGGCGCCCAAGCCGCGGGTGACAGGCGCCGACCCGCCCGCCCCGCACCGTGCGGTGACTGGGCGGGCAGGGGATTCCAGGCGGAGGGACCCGGGCGCGGGATCACAGACTGCCGAGGGCGCACCAAGCTCCAACTTGGATGACCCAGAGATCGCTCCAGCTCCCGGGACCGCTTCACCCACATTAACGAAGCTGCGCTCGGAACCTGGAGACCTCAGGCGACGGCCGCAGAGGGGCGAGTCGGTCGCAGGAGGGGGCGCGCTTTCTCCCTGCGGGTCTCAGTAATGAGGAGACTGAGTTTGTGGTGGCTGCTGAGCAGGGTCTGTCTGCTGCTGCCGCCGCCCTGCGCACTGGTGCTGGCCGGGGTGCCCGGCTCCTCCTCACACCCGCAGCCCTGCCAGATCCTCAAGCGCATCGGGCACGCGGTGAGGGTGGGCGCGGTGCACTTGCAGCCCTGGACCACGGCCCCCCGCGCGGCTAGCCGCGCTCCGGACAGCAGCCGGGCAGGCGCCCAGCGGGATGAGCCGGAGCCAGGGACTTGGCGGCCCCCGGCGCCCTCGCCGGGCGCACGCTGGTTGGGGAGCACCCTGCATGGCCGGGGGTCGCCGGTCGCCCGGAAGCCCGGGGAGGGCGCTGGGGCCGAGACCCTGTGGCCGCGGGACGCTCTCCTCTTCGCCGTGGACAACCTGAATCGCGTGGAAGGGCTGCTGCCCTACAACCTGTCTTTGGAAGTAGTGATGGCCATCGAGGCGGGCCTGGGCGATCTGCCGCTTTTGCCCTTCTCCTCCCCTAGCTCGCCGTGGAGCAGTGACCCTTTCTCCTTTCTGCAAAGTGTGTGCCACACCGTGGTGGTGCAAGGGGTGTCGGCGCTGCTTGCCTTCCCTCAGGGCCAGGGCGAGATGTTGGAGCTCGACTTGGTCAGCTCGGTACTGCACATTCCAGTGATCAGCATCGTGCGCCACGAGTTTCCGCGGGAGAGTCAGGTGAGAGGAGTCTGGCGCGTGGGGTGGAGATAGGAGCTGCTGGGGGCCGGGGCCGGGGCCGCAGCGTGGGGGAGAGGAAAGGGCTGGTGAAGTCCGGGGAGACTTGGTGCTTTATAACTTTGTTATTGTTTAAGGGCTCCATATGTTTTTAGGAGGTAGGTAGAAGGAACACAGTAGAAGTAGAATAAAACATTTAAAGAAAATGCGAGGTGGGGTCGCAGATGGAAGGAAGGAAATGCGAGAATACGAGAAAAAAATCTTCATGTTTTGTACAGCTGGGAGAAATCTAGTGAATTCCCTACGGAAGTAGAAGTCGAGATTCAGGACCGTGGAGAGCGGTCAAGGTTTTGAAAGCCTGCGCGCAGGTTGGGGGTGGGGTATTCCTGACTCTGCGGGAGTCGTACACTCCCAGGAGGAACTCTGAGAGCATGTGGCGGAAAAAGCAGCATCTGCTCTCTGATTCCTTTGGTAGGTGTGCCTGAACCATAAGCGGTGGTGTAAGGAAGAAGGCACATCCCTCTGAATTCCTTAGAGTAAACAGAAAATCTACAACTAGTACAGAATCAATAAATAAAAAAGAGTGGCCAATTAGCCTTGAGTATTGGACAGAATTTGAAGCATATAGTAGCATAAAAGGGAATGTGGAGATTCATTTGGGGATTATCTCTTTGTCCCTATCTTCCTTCTACGTGGTGTCTACTCAGAGGCTGGTAGGCTGTTGCTCTGTTCGTCCTATTTCTGCTCCCATTACCTAAGAATAAAGGAATAAGAATCTAATGATTTAGTTTCCTATCAGCTAAAAAAAAAAGAAGAAGAAAACTAAATACGTGTTCAGTTAAAGAGGCTATTTGTGAACTTAACCACTGAAGAGTAATGATGAGGAGACAAATACTTAAGGACAAGATAGGATCGTTTCAGCAATAAGAGTTTTCTGCATTGTGTACACTACTTTTACATGGTGTCAAAAACTGTAGTCAGCATTATACAGAGTATTTGTGAAGCAAATAGATAATTGGAATTGGCCCCATTTTAAAGACTGAGAAACTAAGGAAAGTTCTGGGGCTTAATCAGCATTGGTCAGTATACTTGGAAGAGTCCCAACCCTGGACGATTTTTAACTCTACGTCATTTTCACTCCACTCTTTTAGGTGGAAAAACATAAATATTTCTAATCTCTCTTATTCCACTTTTGATATATATGCAAAGATAAAAACTAAATTGAGTAAGGGCAATATGTTAATACATTGAAAAGTTAATTGACTCTATGCATAAAATATCAAGGGAGTACTAAAGATACCCCTTTCTAGAAAAATAAGTCTTATGTTTTTAATCTTAGGAAGGGTAAGTACAAGCTACTCTTAGAAGTTGCCCAGAAGATTCCTTTTTAATGCTGAACTATAGATATTTGATCTGCAGAGTACAGGCTAATTAACTTTTATCTAAAATATTTCTGTCACCTGAGTCTGAATGTCTGTAGGCAGCAGATGGAAATGCATGGAAAACACAGGTGCACAATGCTGCCAATGGTCCAAGTGTTATAAACATGAAATTGCATCCATAGGGTGCACCATTATTAATATATATGCAGAATCAGATCTAACAAAATGCAGTCGTCAGCATGACTTGCCTCTCATTATTGCTTCTTTATTGTCTAATACTTCATAAGTTGCCAATAGTGGTCACAGTCACCAGACTCCTTTCTATGTGTAGATTATTTGGTAAGAGTCTTACATAGCAAGAATTTTCCTCCCAAATTAGTGTCTGTTAGTTATCAGAGAAATTGTGTTCCATAATGAATGTGTGCAGTATACAGCACATTACAACAAGGGTACCAGAAAAACCATAAAGTAGAATCTAGAATCAGTAAACTCCAAAGCTTTAAGACCACTAGGGGGGAAAAAGTCCTCCATGGACAAGCTGACAACAAATATTCTGTCAAGTACATTTACTTCTGTATTTCAATTCAAAAACATGTTTAACTCACTGTCGTCACTATTATTTTCATGGTACACATCTTGAAAGGGAAAGGTTATTACATAAACTCACATCTAGTTTGTCCAGCTGAGGACATTTTCTTTCATCTCCATTTGTATTTTAAATTCAAATATATCTGACTAGTCTTGCTTTTAGTATATCATTTAAATGTCATTCTATAATATTCCATATTAAGAATGCCCTGTTCAATGCCAAGTCACCGTAATATGTAATTTTAGGATATGACCATAATCTGCTTTAGGCAAAATAATAACTGATCTTTCCCTTGCTTCTACCAAAAAGTGGACCTTCCTCTGATACACTGATGTGATTTTTTTTAAACTTCCCAAATATAAAAGAATGTCAAAGTCATTTTACACATTAAATAAAATTGACTTAATCTAGCCACTGTCCTTGGAATTTACTGCCCAGTGACCTAATTCGTTGATTGTGTGCCAATGCCTGAATGAAGGATTCTAGAAGCAAGTGGACTTGTTCATCTAAGTAAAATACAATTGTTTCTCTTATTCAAACAAATCAAAATATCATTTAAAGTAGGAGCAGCAACAGCTCTTTTCTCTCATTTTCTTTTGTGCTGCTTATTTCTTTCATATGAAGGTTTTAATTAATAAGTAATAGTTTTAATAACATCCTGCCACAACTCTTGAATAGAAGGAGATACCCCTGAGATAATCAGACCCCTAAGAAAAGTATAATAGTTTTATTTCAAAATACTATTTATTCAAAACATAAACACATAAGATCATCAACTTGGAGGGGACCAACTTCCTCCAGTCAGTAAATTCATTAAAAGTAGTTAGTTAACTATGTACTTTTGGAAAACATGTGTTTATTATTACTACATTATAAAAGCTTAATACAACATTACACATAGAATGGGTTGAAGGCATGTTTCCATCAAAAATATTTCTGACTTCACTGCCATACCCAAATCTCCAACTGAGGCTAACCCATCTTATTAAAATGATCATTTCCTAGCTTTAAATTCTAGTTCTGTAACCTTCAAATAATGATGCTGCATATAAACGTAGTAAAATTTACATTTAAGTTACATGAAGTTCCTACAGTTATACTTTCTTTCTTTTCCCTTTCCATGCTACTTTTTCATCTAGAGGTTTTGTGTAGTTTCTTCAAAGTTAACGTTTTAAAATTTACCTGCTGAGGTGGTGATAAACACAATTTTCTCTAAAATATGTATTTCATGTTAATTCCATATCAGTCCCATTAGGCAGAGTTAATGAAGTTACATGATTGGCACAGACCCAAACCCAGGCAATTCAAAAGTGACTATACTAATATTTTCAACTCTTGTTGAAAGTATCAACCACAGCTTTGCCTGTTTTATCAGTCATATGTAGTAACAAATTAATACTTTCTTTCCTATGGAAATATAAGTGCTTCAGGTGGTCTATCTCCTCTGACAATACAGGACTAAGTCTGAAGCCTATTCATTAGAAATTGGCTAACACAGCACTACTTTTGCATGATACAGAGACAGAACAATGATACTACTACAGAGTTTAGGTGTCTCATGAGGGGACAGTAAAGGACATTTATTTTTAAAACATCTGTTCTCAAAAGTGCTGGTTTTCCTTGACTTGCTCTGTGCAAAGTCAAGTTCTCTCTCCTCTGGGGAAAATGTGTTCTTCTGCAATTCATGATGAATGGCTAATAGTAGCACCTAATTGTTGTTGACTTGAAGATAAATGATTTCAAATTAAATGCCAAGTGATGCAAAACTTTTCATAGGTAGTGATATTTTATAGGTTCCTCTTGAAGAACAGAGATGTGGGATTACTTTGGAAGATTTTTTTATTCGGTTATTTATTTTTCTAGATAAATAGAGCAGAAGAAACTAGCAGACACCATTTATTAGCAATTAGTCTCTCCCATTTTTCTTTGCGCTTACCACAGGAGTGTCACTTAATCCATAAAGAATATATTTGCTCTTGATTTACTTGATTGACCATTAAATCTTAGAGTTAATTTATGATTAAATCAGCTAAGCTAGGATCAATTTCAATGCCTAATTCCTTAGTGTATTATCTTCTGTTGTTGTAGAAGGCATCATGGATTTTGTACCATTACATTTTATTTCATTAGTATTCCCAAATTCCAACCACATTAGTTAAAAAAAGCTCAATGTATTGGAAAGTACATCAAATAGTGGTGAAAATTTCCCAATTCACTTCTGCATCTTACTAACCATGTATTCTTGGGCAAGTGACTATCTCTGAGCATCTACACTTATCAGTCAAAATAAGGTACTTTATCAGCCTAACAGTGTTGTTTTGTAACTCAAATGAGAAAGTGAAAATACTTTGAAAAACTTTATAGTGTTAGCCAAATAACTAGTGGAGATGTGTTGATCATGATTAGATAAGAATTAAGTCTTAATTCTTCAATAGTCCATTAGCAATTATTAATCAAATTAGCCTGTCACATGTAATATGTCTCTATCCCCCACCTTCCTCTTTGCTCTCCCCTCCTTTTTTTCTCTCTAAAAAATAGTAAGCAGGTAGAGGGGAGAAAAAAGAACTAAGTTCTTAATTAGGGTACACTTGCCTGGGAAAAGAAGACATGTTATAGTACTATTTCAGTATTAATGGTAACTTTTTACCTATGGCACATCTAACACAGCTTCTAGAACCTTAAGTTCTTCCATAGAAACTTCAATAAGATGCATAAGGTTTTTGAGAAATGCTCGTCCTTCATAATGTTCTCAATTTTTTTTCTAAGGCAAAATATCATTCATAAGACTACAGTCATACAGAGACTACCCCAGTTCCCCTCGCATTCCACCAACTATACCGCTAAGGACACATTGGCTCATTCAACTTTTTTTTTAATAGCAAGTATTTCTTGATAAAGAAAGCAATATGTTGGTTCATACTGGCCTATGCTCCTTATATTATCATGGTCACATAATAATTTGCAGAATAGTTACTTTGAGTACCATTGCCTTAGACAACCATGTGGGGCTCTCATAACAGGTATTGCTCATT